GATTGAGTTACTATACCAGATGCCAAATTTTGTAGTGAAACTACTCCATTCTCTACTCAGCTGAATTCCTCCTCATTTCTGCTATCCCAGGACAGCACTGCTCACCATACACCTGCAGTGCAGATCACAGTGACACCTGAAGAAAAGAATTTATGTGCTCTTGAGTAACTGTAGTTCTTTGAAACCATGACTACACTATAGTAAGAAATCCAGTTTTAAAGTTAATTAATTATATGCGATGAATCCAGTATTAAAACCCATAAAATATTAATAAAGCAGAACTGCACACGTTTTAGTTCATAAATCTGAAATAAAGCTTAAACCATGTTTTTTTAGTGTTGGTACTGCATACAACTCAGCAAACAATGAACAAGCAATACTGATTCAAAAAGCTGAAAACATCTCTTGATTTGAACTGCTTTTGTTTCTTTGTTTCATGAAGGCATCTCTCAAAATAACTTCATTCTGAATGCAACTCATTAATGTATGCTCCCCGCCCCCTGCCATTGCAAGCCTTCTCCAACTGGCTAAACGTGGTGACTGGAGCTTTTCGGATTAATTTTCCTTAAGTGACCTACTTTGCAGAGAAAGATAATCATGCATTTATAGCCTCTGGCACTCTATTCAGGTCACAGATGGACAGATAGCAAAGCTATTCCTCAGTGACTTACTGGCGTTGTAACTAATCCCCAATGAGAAGGAGATCGGCCTGATGTTAATTGGTCAGAATGCCTAAAAGTATGGAAGATCATTGACTCCTACTTTAATTTTCAGGAGAGGGGGGGTGTCACAGTTAAGCTGTATGATACCAGCCAGCAGTTGTTCTAGGAGTGTTTTGTGGTAGAGATCAAATTACTGGATGCCATAGATGTTAAATATCTGACTTTGAATCCTTTGCCTCGACAGTGGAGCACCATGTGGTGTTCTGACTGTGGACATGTCTGATGTTACACACATACCAAATACCGGGGCCGGCACCAAAGACCGGAGATTTGGGAGAGTTTGACCTTTTGCTTGCTAACAAGTGCTTACGATCCCATGAACAGTTGTTATTGTAAAGATAATTTTCTGTGCAATCAGACCTAAACTTGTGTTATGAACGCATTTTTTTTAATACATATATAGCATCATCAGTTGAGCCAATAAAACTCTTATTTTGCTGTTATCCATTACAGGCCCATTCTCCTTCTTGTATTTGACACTAATGTAGTGATATATGCAAAACAGTTTGTTCTCTAGTTTTCAGATATTCAGAAGTTTCATGAGGGAAATGACCAGGCTTTATTCTCTGTTGGGATATTTTTAAAAGTTTGGTGGAGCTTTTCACACTGAGAAACAAGCAACAAACAAGAGTGTTAAGAACATCTCTTTTTTTCGAAGGACTGTCTTGAAACTTTGAGCGTGCCAGGCAGTCAGTGATGATAATTCTGACAGGTCTGAAGAAATAACTGTTAAAATTGTGACAATGCCAGCAAATGGATGGATGGCTTTCAGAACAAAACAAAGCATGTACGTAGGTTGAGTTCTCACACCACAGTACTGCAAACGGGTATGCCTGTGTCCCCCAGCATATACATACAGCTTTGCTCTTTGCACCACAGTGCAAAACTGAAAGGTGTTCTGGTAGAAGTTGCCTTGCAGTTTGTATCGCTTTGATCACATACTAAGTGTTTGTATTTCGTGTGCTTCCTAGAGCAAATAATTTTGGAACACATGAGGAGTGGTTTGGGTTTGGTTTAGATATTTATAACTGTTAAGACAACCTGATAGAGCTGTGTGTGTATTTTATATGACAGAATCTAATGCATCAAGGGCAAAATCAATTCCTTTTAGCAAAAAGCCTTTCAAAAGGAATTAAGTAAAAAGTTTTAGAGAGAAAGAGTATGTGCAGCCCTCCCATACCTATCCTGAGGGACTGTGGTACAGCTGTTCCACCATCAAAATTCTGGCCATGGGCTCTAGCACTTGTTGGGAGCTCTTTGAATTTTCCACACGCATCCTTCAGCTTCTGGATCTGTGTGTTCCCTCTCCCGGGTGTTAGCCCCAGCATCTTCTATTCTGAGGGAGAATTCTCATTGTGTCTGAATCATGTTGTTCTCAGTGTTTCCTCTGGAAATGTTAGTAAATATGAACCAATACAGATACTCTTAGCCTAGCCTAAGAACAGCTTACTGTAGATGTGCTTTTATCTGGTCCTAAAATAATTAATCTAAATCCAAATAAATCCAATTTTAACCAAAATAATCCACAAAACATAATTTTATCTTTTTTCTTTTCTTTTTTAGTTTGTCAAGAAAGTATCTTTAAAAAGTAAGTCAGCACTGCCAGGATTGGTTATGGGCTATTTTAATCAAATTACGATTTTATGAAACAAAAAATTCACATATTTGTTTCTGTGTTTCCTGGTATGATATCCATCACACGGTTGTGTTTATATCAGAGAATGTGGAGTTTTGTAAGAAGAAACAGGATAAATCTAAACAGTTGGGAAGTCATTGTGTATTATCAGATACAAAACTAGACTAATTTAAGTAATATGTTTCTATTTTATGGAGCCATAGTACAATCCGTAGAAGATACAGTAGAAATTATTTGTAGAAAAAAATACCAATATATACTACAAACAAATAACATCTGCTTTACAAAAGATGTGTTCATGCCCACTCTGTAGATCTCTTAGGGATTAAAAAAATGATTGAGAAATAATACGGGTGCATTCCTTGAAAACAACCAATTTAAAAATAACCAGCTCCAGAGAAACCTTCTAGCTTTTGAACCAAGCCATAGCAGTAGTAGAAAATACGTGCTTCGTATTTAATGGTGACATTCCAGTATACAAGCGAGAACTTAAGAGTTCCTGACTGTTTTCTTGGCAGGGTAATAAGGGCTCTGCATAGAGGTGAAGGTGAAACATGCCACGTATCCTCCTCACATTATTACTAGTCACTGCCTGAGAGTCAGTCTTCTGGGATCTGCATGGCTTAGAAGTTTACTTTATATTATTGTGGGTATACAAATTACTACACTGAAAAAAATTCATTCACTTCCCTGGTTGCATATTAAATTAGGATATTAAGTGATCAAACAGTTCTCATCATGTAACTGTCCCGCATTCAAAGCTTTTACGTCAATACAAAATCAAATACAATACATAGCATTACATCAATATAAAATCTTTTGTGTATATTTCTTCTGTGGGGAAAGATGAGTAGTAAAGCACATTTTGTAAAACGTGTATAGGTGTCACACACACACAATTTGCTACTAAACAGAACTACTCACTTGCATGAGATGTCTGGAATGGGTATTTGTTTGCCAGATCAGAACATCAGGGAAGAGTTATGAATCTGATAATAAACTAGATTTTTTAGCACATTTTTTACAGAATTTGTTGATCTGCTGTGCTACTGTAAGTGAAAAGTAAATCTGATTAGAGAAATGGAAGAGTAGACATAGTTAGAGAAATTTGTTCTCATCTTCTTTAGTATATGAGTCAGTGTTCCCTGATGAAGTAGGATTATCATTAGTTTAGTTTAGTCATTTAAGATTTAAAATTTCCAGTGGTGAACTTCTAATTAGTTGAATAGTTCATCAAAATGCTAAAGCAATTTGAAAGAATCTGTATTGCTGTTCTGAAGGAACTTGTGTTCCTGTTCAAGGGGATGAAACAGCGTATTTGGAAGGAAATGCTGGAGCGTGGAAGAATCAGACATCATGTTTTAGTGAAACAGTAGATGTGATCTGAATTGGTAATGAACATTCCTTGGTGGCTGGTTGATTTTGAAGACCTAAGAAGCATTTATAGGAGTCATCATGTTTTTTAAATATGCCTTGGTGGGATGGGCTGTGCATATGCATGAATGGAAGAAACTGTGGACAAAATTGTGGCAGAGTGTTTCATTGTTCATATGTACAAAGTTGAAATAAACTTACATGCAAAATAGTAGTAATTTATAATTAAATTAAGCATATTAAATATATTTAGTATAAGATTATAATAATTCCTCATTAATCACAAACCTATATACAAAATCATTTTAGCTAGAGTTACAAATGTTTGGTTTTCAATGATGCCTTTAATAGTAAGCCAATTAGACAAAATGAATTATTTTTTGTATTTTCCATGTAGGTGTGCACCTCATATGCTGTTAGCATTATACAAGTAAACATTAATGAGCTATTTGCATACTAATACATTCACTTGATGTGTCTGAGATGTTTTTCCCTTGCATACTGAGTGCAAAGATAGGGTCTGTGGATGATGGCAAACTAATCACCTGTGAAAATTAAAGCCTTGTGTTTGCTCCAAGAACAACTAAACTGTAGGCAAGGATTGTTCCTTCACAGGCTACTTCAGTAAACCCCAATATCGGCTTCCTCTTTGTAATAAAGCAGTATTTCTATGCTCCTTGATCTTTAGTCTCTTTGCTGATATTACTGAGGAAAGGCATATTAATAGTAGTATGGTGTTGAAATTCAAGATATTTGAATTTGCAAGTATAAATTAAATTTAATAAAGAAAGTATATTTCAGGGGTAGAAGGCTTGCATTAAAACAACTAAGCTTTGGTTCCAAAGCATTACATTAGTTCTTTTTACTCAAGTTGGTGACAAATCTTTTTCTACAAAATATTTCATAAAATAGTAGATTAAAAAAGCACATTCACTCAGTACATATATATCAAAATAAGAACTGATCATATACATATTCTAGAATTACACACTGTTGTTTTTGGGAAATTGATGTGGATTTTACCATCCTTAACATTTTACTTAAAAAAATACTCTATTAAACTGGGAGGGTAGAGGTTGTTTTCCAATATTTTTTTAATTTATAGTTTTGATGAGCATTTGAATTCTCATTTGGACATGCAATCATAGGATTTTTGTATAATTCTATTTTTCCTGGATATTTGGGGAAAAAAAAATTAGAAGACATTTTAAGGAAGAAATAAAGGAAGAGATGTGAGAGCTCTGACCATTATCATTCTGTCTTTGCAGTTCGACAATCAGCAAGCATTGGGAGGCAGAACTGGCCACTCTCAAGGGTAATAACGCTAAGCTCACAGCAGCCCTGCTGGAGTCCACTGCCAATGTAAAGCAATGGAAACAACAACTTGCTGCGTATCAGGAGGAAGCAGAACGTCTTCATAAGCGGGTAAGTCAAGGCAAATGGCCAGGATCCTTGAGGTGCAAGTACTGGTGACTGTGTTCGTTCATTTTCAAGTAAAACAAATAAGTTTATTGTTGGGGCTTTAGGTTAGTCTTTGAGACAGAAATTAATGATTACTTTAAAGCACACAGGGTCCTCCATTGGGGATTCTTTCCTTTGTAGCCATTCTTTTTCTGCAAAGGGTATTGTTGCAGGAAGAGTCATCTAACCTTATGCCATGTTTGCCAGCTTTCACTCTTCATTTCATGCCATCTCATCTGTTTCAGGACCTTCTCCCCAGCATGACACTTTAGTACCTCTTGTATTTAAGTTGACAGAAACTGGACATCAAACATGTAATTTAAAGAAACCATGTGGTAGTTTCAACATGTAACAAAGATGAACGCTTTCCTCATCCTTGCACCTAAACTGAACATAGATTCAAGATCCTTATGTGCATTTAGAGATCTGCTCCCACTTTCACACAGGAGGGGCTGGGTCCTGTTCCCTTCACTGTAAATTTTGCAGAGGTCATCTGGCAAACCAGAAATTACTGCACAGTAGGGGAAGGAATGGCAGTATTTGAGGGAGGAATAAAGCAAGCAAAGTTGAAGGCTGCATTATGAAAACAAGTATACAATATTTTTATTTCTCTCCTCTTTTCACATGTAGCTCTTTGTATATTGTATAATCTATTCACCTTTATCTGTATGAATTTGTCATCATAGCTTAGGACACATTTTTGTGCAAAGTGAAGGCAAGATTAGCACATGTATGGAGAGAAGATGTCTTTGATGAATCTGTATTACTTTTGTTAGTATCGGTTAACTCAGAAAAATATCAAGGAGATGAAACAGGTTTCATGAATATGTGGACAAGAAGAGAAAGGTCAACTAGCAAACATGGCAGGCAGACCTTTTAATTTCATTTTGTATGCTGTACTCACTTATATGAAATAAGGTGTCACAATTACAGTTAGCCAAATCCTACAGATTGCAAAGGGTCCTTTCAGACCTGTGCTGGACCTGTGCAACTGGAGGCTGTTAGTAGTTCCAGGAACAAGGCTCATATTCATCTGAGAGGGGAGAAATTTGGCAGGCTACATCTAACCTGGGGATGTGGAAGAGTAGCAAGAATTCCCTTGAGCTTCCAAAATGTGGGGAAATGGCAGGTTGGGGCTCTCCTGTACCTAGACTGACTTGCAGACAAGGATCTTGAAGTCCCAGACAAATGATAGGGAAGAACAGCAATTTCCAATGGACTGTAACTGTGTATGCCATAACTGGCTGGACAAAACGCATGAAGAATAATTAAAACTGGTGCTTTTAGCAAAGTGCTTTCAGTTCAAGAAATTGGCAGTTGCTGACAAAATTGCTTTGCTTCAGAAATTTTCCAGTCAAGCACAGGCTTGTCATATGTTTTTGAACAGAGGGAGACTTTTGCTTTGCCTGTCACCTCATTTAAGCTTCTCCTTTGGAAGGGGGTGAGTTCTAACCTGTGCTCCAGGTTTGTGAATAGATGATAATAGTAATTGTTGATAAAATTATTTAAATTACAACCTTGTGTTAAAATTACTGTGGTGCAGACATTCAGGTGGATTTGACCACCAGATAGGCTTTACAGTGAAGAACTTACTGCTAAAATGTGGACATAATGAGGTAGCATTCTTCCTATTAAAATATATTAACAGTTTGTGTTGCAAAGCTCCGACAATACAATCCTTACCTAAGAAAGAAAAGTTACACAGAATAACAGCAGCTACATTTTCTGTGGGGAGACCCATCCAGACAAAATGGGCTAAGATCCCTTTTTCTTGATGTTACTCTCACTCTTAGTCAAGTCTTATTTAAAATGTATTATTGGAAAGTACAATTAATGAATATAGGATTTTTTAGCACGTCACTCTTCTTTTATATGATGCTACAGTTAACAGAAGTACTAACTAAGTCTTTGTAGCCACATTCATTAATAGCTTATGATTTTTCTTAATCTTTGCCCAGCAAATTTCCTGCAATTATTTTGTATTTCTGAGGGAATGTAAAATCGTACAGTATGGGATCATCTAGACTATGCTCTTTTGATCACCATTTACATGCCTTTATTAAATGTTTCTCTAGTCTGTGACCTCGGGATTTGTTTATATCTCACGTAGAATATAGGAACACTCTGTGCCTATGTCTCTCTGGGCATGCCTATAAATTATGACAGGATAGTTCGTTATAGTACAGCCCTCTGTTGGAATTGCTTTTAGAAAAATAAACACTTGGCTAACCCAATAAATTGAACTCTCTGGGCAAAAGTATGCCATCAGGTAAAAAAAAATCAATGTCAATCTGTTATCTATATGGTGCGATGCAAGAGTTCTTCTAACCTGCATGCTGGAGACTGACCTTTCAAATTGAAATAGTGCTCCATTTCAAAAAGAAACTGCACGTCAGATGTTTCTCTCCTGTGGATTGGAAATGTGCTGTTGAAATGGCAGATCTGGAGACTGTTGGTTGTAGTACATGTAGTAGCAAGCAATGTTAAGTCACTGTATTGGGTTATCTTCCTGTTCAGTTATCTGTTAAGCTCAGTTTAAACATGTAGCTGCAGTTCATCCAAAAAATGTTCCTCAATCTGGATTCTATCTCACCTGAGATTATGTAGAAGTTATATATCAAGTCTAAGATGGTCATCTCTTTTTTTTGTAATTCTTGGAGAGACAAAAGCATGAAGAGTACATGTCCCAGTCTTAAGAAGACTGACTAAGGTGTTGACTTGAATTTGCTTCTGTAAGTGCTTGTCTTTCTCCATAGGATAATCATCTAGATAGTCACACAGACATACTTTTAGGTAGATGAAATGAAGTCCATCCTTAGTTCATAGAATCACAGAATAATTTAGCATGTGGGGAACTTTGGAGGTTATCTAGAATCATAGAATCATAGAATCTTTCAGGTTGGAAAAGACCTCTAAGATCATCAAGTCCAATCTGGTCCAATTCTCCACTGAAAGCAGGGCCAGCTTTGAAGTTAGATCCAACTCCAGGGCTGGATCAGGTTACTGAGGGCTGTGAATCAAGTCTCAAAAAATGGAAATCCTGCAGCCTCTCTGGGGAACCTGTTCCAATGTTTGACCAACCTTGTCAAATTATTTTTCCTAATATCTTACCTAATTGAAATTTGCCATGCTGCAAATCTCATCTGTTGCCTGCTTAGAAGAAAAATGAGGTTTGATCCAAAAGAAACTTTGGTGACAAAAGTTGTATAGACCAGTTTTTTAGAAATACTCTGTTGTGGCTTAACCCCAGACAGCAACTAAGCATGACATGGCCACCTGCTTACTCCCCACAGTGGGATGGGGAGTGGAATTGGAAGAGTAAAAGTGAGGAAACTCGTGGGCTCAGATAAAGACAATTAATAGAGCAAAAGCCACGTGTGCAAGCAAAGCAAAACAAGGAATTAATTCCCCACTTCCCATGGGCAGGCAGGTGTTCAGCCATCTCCAGGAAAGCAGGGCTCCATCACACGTAACGGTGACTTGGGAAGACAAACGCCATCACTCTGAACGTCTTCCCTCTCTTTCCTCTTCCCTCAGCTTCATGTGCTAAGCATGACGAATATCCCTTTCGTCAGTCAGGGTCAGCTGTCCCGGCTGTGTCCCCTCCAAACTCCTTGTGCACCCCCAGCCCACTCACTGGTGGGGTGGAATGAGAGGCAGAAAAGGCCTTGGCTCTATCTGTGTAAGCACTGCTCAGCAGTAACAAAAACGTCCCTGAATTATCAACACTGTTTTCAGCACAAATCTGAAACATACCCTCATGCTAGCTACTATGAAGAAATTAACTCCATCCCAGCCAAAACCAGCACATACGCATAGAAAAATTGATTACAAGGAAAAAGAAAAATTTGAAAATTAGTTTCCATGTTCAGTTGTAATGTAGTTTTTGTTTGTATGGAAAAGCTGGCTGTCACAGCATCTTGCCACTGGAGAAGAAAAATGTATGTAGATATTGTATGCATTGGAGGGATACAATCATAGTCTTGTATAGCCAGCCACCAAAATGAAGAATGGTATTGCCAACGTTAGCTGCTATATTTAGATCAATTTAATAATGTATTATGTGGTTTACATATAATGTAACTGGTATTCACTCCTTACATGCTTCAGGTTTATATACAAATTTTGGTGCCTGAGTCATCTGTCTGCAAGCTACATCAGACTCATATCCTCTGTCAAGTGTGGTGTGTGTGGGGAAGTAATGCATATTGATTAGTAAACTTTGCATTATTATTTCTATCTTTGCTTTATTTTTTATATAAATAGCCTCATAAATAGCCTTGTTTACATGAATAGTTTCTTCTTTATAGTAAAAAAAAAATATTGCTAATACTGTCTTACTAGTTGCCTTCTTATGGTACCTTTTTCCACAGTTTGAACTTTGTCATGTTTTATTTATAAACATCTTTTGATTTTACATTATATCTCATTCTTTTATCTTCTATTTTTTTCATTCACTGTGGTAAACTAGGTCTTTTGTTTTGTGCAGTATTTGTTGTAAACTTTGCTTTTTAAGTTGTTTTAAATTATTTTAAGCCCAACATTTTTTATTCTATAATTGTTTTAAAATATGACTGAAATAGTTTTTCTGTGTATCACATTGTTTACACTTTTAAAATACAGAAACAAGGCTAAAAGGCCCCTTTCGTTGATTTTGATTGCATTTTTAAAAATTAATTTAGTTTATTATTTGCCATTTCTGAGTAAGTATAGGTTTACTCGTCTGTCAGTTATGTTTTTCATATTATCCTACATTTATTTGCTTTCTCTGAGGCCTTTATCATCCTTCTTCCATTTGTTCTCTGCATTTATAATGCCTAGAGCTGAGATGAAACAGAATATAGATTCAGCGTGGCTGAGTGCAAAGTTCTCAATAAATTATTGTGCTCTCTTCTGATATATAGTGAGTTTAAGTCAGAAATACTGTACCTTGATATTTTGTCAGACATACTTTTCTGAAGTTT